CTGCCCTGAATCGTGCTATTAGGGCTGTCACTCCCCCGCACAATTATTCCATGGTCCCTATATAATCCCTCAATGATCCCCTCTCTAACACCCCGACTCGGCGGGATGCTCAGTATGAACGGTTGGCTCACAACCGTAATCCATTCCTTATAGAATGGGTCGTCCTTGAACGGCGGACAGCGCCCGCCATTTGGACGATGGTGGACCTATCGAACAGCTGGTTAAGATCAGTTAAACTGATCGTAACCGCCATCCAGTCCACATCGTATTGATATGGGTGCATGGTGATATTTATTTTACCCCCGGAAAAATCCCTCTGTTGTTGTGTCGAACGCAAGGTTTGAACCATGCACCCTCGGTTGTGAATTGAGTATCTTATGCAACTGCGCTATTTGCCATCGATGAAATGCATTGAAAACGTATTCGCCAGATGGGGCGCAGGCTAACCCTAACCAGTATGCGTGCATAGTAGAGTTGTATAGAGTGCGCTATGGGTGTCCGGGGACTATGGGAATTCATCTGTAGGGGGTTCCTAGGTAAAGGACATGTGTATGGACTGGCTTTAATGCATTCCAGGTGGTGTTGGATTTTGAGAAAAGCGTCAATCCTATTTTGTTTTTTGCATTTTCTGCAGCCGTTTACAGCTTAATTGCGCATCTGAGATGACTTTAACTATGAAAACATATATCTGGCTACAACTTTCGTTACGCCCACATCGTGTTTTGGGTGGCGCAGGAAAAAGAAAAAAAAAAGTATCCCCAGCAAAACCGGTGTTGGAACTTGGGGCACTAGTTCAAATAACATAAGCACTTGCCACTATGCCAATGTTTGTCGATAGAATGTTACCTGTGTTTGGTCGTATCCACCAGATGGCGCAAAATGCAAAATTTTCGAAAATTCTCTAAGTCCCACCCATTGGAGCTTGCGGGTGCCATAGCTCTGTCAATAGTGATTGAATCTCCCTGGTTTCACTTCCGTACCTATACTCTCTTTTGAATCCGCACCATTGCCCTGGATGGCCAAGGTGGTACGGATGATGTAGTGCATGCGAATGGACACGCACCGCCGGTTTTTCGCATATTTTGCTTGTTGATCGGCCAAAAACACTTTTTACCTGCACTTCTCAGCTTTTTGATTGTTTCCCTGACACTGTCAAGCAATGCTAGACGTATTTGAAGACATTTTGAAGGAGGAAGAAAAGAAAAGAAGGCCTGGCCCCCTCTGAGAATCGAACCTGCGCCATGAGTCACCAAAATCTTTGAAAATTCTCTAAGTCCCACTCCTGGGAACTTACGTGTGCCACAGCTCCTTCAATAGTCATTGAATCTCCCTGGTTCCACTTCCGTAACTATATTATCTTTCAAATCCGCACAACTTTCCTCAGGTGTCCAAGGTGGTGCGGATGACATAGTGCATGCAAACGGACATGCACTGCATGCTTTTTGCATGATTTGCTGGTTGACAAACACCCTGTCATATCCATGTATTGCAATGCAAAAAGGCATTTGCCATCCTCCACCATCAGGAGGAGCAGTGGAAGAAAAGAAAGTATTTGGGCCTCAAAAGGATTTGAACATGTAGCAAATTGAGAGCAAACCAAAATGAGTCATTCGCCGCCAAGATGAAGGTTCCTAGATGTTTTTGGGGATGTTTTCTGAGACATATTCCACTTTAAGCAAATTCCATCCACTCAGAGTTTCAGAAAATGCGTTTTGGTGACATTTTAATAGTAAAAAATCTGAAAAACGGATTTTCCGGGAGCATTGCGTGGAAAACATGCCCCAAGGTTTTATGTACAGTACAGTAAGACGCCCCTGAACATTGCTAGCAACTTTATTTGACACTTTCCGGACCACCAAAAATAACCCATAACCCGGAACAGTCCTGTAAGACCCTAATGCCAGTTGGCACTTTTCTCAAGTTACGTGCAAAATGGGTTCCCAGATTTTTGCCTATCTCCTCGATCTGCATTCCAAAACATTCTCCATTATCAGTCAAACACTCATACGCAAGTCCTTCACATACGTCCATAGGTCATATGTGCAATATCACTAAGTCGGAAATGCAAGTTGGCACTTTTCTCAAGTTACATGCAAAATGGGTTCCCAGATTTTTGCCTATCTCCTCGATCTGCATTCCAAAACATTCTCCATTATCAGTCAAACACTCATACGCAAGTCCTTCACATACGTCCATAGGTCATATGTGCAATATCACTAAGTCGGAAATGCAAGTTGGCACTTTTCCCAAGTTACATGCAAAATGGGTTCCCAGATTTTTGCCTATCTCCTTGAACTGCATTTCAATACATTCCCCATTATCATTCAAACACTCATCCGCAAGTCCTTCACATACGTCTATAGGTCATATGTGTAATATCACTAAGTCGGAAATGCAAGTTGGCACTTTTCTCAAGTTACGTGCAAAATGGGTTCCCACATCTTCGCCTGTCTCCCAGATTGGCATTCCCACACATTCCCAATTATCGCTCAGATCCCTGTACATAAGTCTCTCGTATATGCTGATAAGTCCAACTTATTCTATTACTAAGTGGAGATCAGACACCAATCATAAAGCTACCTGATGGACTCGCGTTAGGGTCCTTTGACTTTAATAAGAAAGGTAGATACATTGTTTTCGGAGGTCTGGACAGAAATTTAGGAACCCATTTTGCGTGTAACTTGAGTAAAGTCAGATTTCGCCCCACTTTACCAAGGAAAAAAGTTTGTTTTGCATTTCATTCAAGTTACATGCAAAATGGGTTCCCAAATTTCTGTCTAGGGGCTCGAAAGCCCTCAAACTATAACTTTAATTATCAGCTGTAGCCTGTCTGAGATGATCACCTCAAAACCCTGAACCCAGACCCCCTTTGTAACCCTAACCCTAAGGCCTTAAAGGGATTTGAACATGGAGCAAATTGAGAGCAAACCAAAATGAGTCATTCGCCGCCAACTGGAGAACACCCCCATATTGCCTGGAAACAAAAAGTACCAGGAGTTGATGAATACTAGAGTAGATGAAGGTTCCTAGATGTTTTTGGGGTTGTTTTCCAAGACATATTCCACTTTAAGCGAAATCCATCCACTCAGAGTTTCAGAAAATGCATTTTGGCAATAGTTTCATAGTAAAAAATCGGAAAAACAGATTTTCCCGGGGCATTGAGTGGAAAACATGCCCCAAAATTTGAAGCACATTACAGTAAGATGCCCCTGAACATTGCTAGCAACTTTGTTTGACACTTTTTGGATGGCCAAAAATAACCCATAACCGGGAACAGTCCTGTAACCCTAACCCTAACCCTAACCCTAAAGGTTTTATTACTGGGTTGCCTGTAACCCTAACCCTAACCCTAAGTCCTTAGGGTTACAGGCAACCCAGTAATAAAACCCAACCCAGGGGGCCTTGTAACCCTAAGCCCTAACCCTAACCCTAACCCTAACCCTAAACCAGTTTGAATACCGATACTGCTGATCCCGACCGCACGGAACTCAGTCTCGCGGGTGGTCCCGAGATTTCTATTGTCCCGGAGCAATCCTGAAAGGTACAGATGCTACAGTGCAACGAAGCTGACCATAGCGGAATGGGGTTCATCCACGCTTTCCTGCACATGTAGTATACCGAATAAGTTATATGGGATATCCCCACCTATGTGACATCCGCACCGGTATATGGATGGGACTGCCGCCGCTCTTGGCGGTAATGCAGATCAGATGATTCTTATTACAGTACGTTATCTGGCAGAAAGCTTCAAATATGAGTTGCACGTTGGTTGGGCGCCGTGCTATGATTCGCCCTGCTCAATTTGCCCTTAGACAATGCAAATAGCGCGGTACCCAATTGCTCATATGGGTTGATTGTACTGGTCATCCTGCTCCTGACGGACAAATGAGGGAAGTCTAAAAGTTTGTTACGGAGGGAGGAGAGCCTTGTTCCCCTCAGGTCCACCCTGGCTAAGCCACTGACAGTTTTTTGACGACTTTTGGACTTAACAAGGTTTTCGCAGAACCAAAGTTGCTGCACATGTTGAGCAGTATCTTGACAGCCAGACATGCTAGCAGAAAGATTGATTAGGCAGTTTGGTGAAGAAGGCACTGGTTCAGGGTTTGACAACCTCTAACTGGCAAGTTTTACCCAAAAACGGCCAAGGAAAGACAGTTTTACTACTCAGACTTTTGGGCCTCTGTGTTAAGTTTGTTGCAACAGCTACCCCCACAGACACTTAGAGGGGATTGGCCAAAGTAGGCAACTGGAGCCGTATGCAAAGGGAATAGGTCGTCCTGCATGTCTGTGGGATGGTATGGCTGCTCAAAAAAGAGGGTTTTGTGAGGAAACTGCTTTAATTTCCCTAATTGTGCCTTAAGGTAACGCGTAGAGCGTTTGGGGGTGGCGCAGTGAGGGTGGACCTGAGTTGTTCCCGCCGCTCTCTTTCGTTGGGTGCGTCCGAAAGCGCGTTCCTTCCGCCAGACACACAACGGTCCCAGACAGTGCTTCTGTCGCTCGCGCCACTCTCACAAGGATTGGATGGCGACGGCCCATACCGCTCCGTCTAACGGGGCCGGTAAACAATTTTTCGCCAGTTTGGCAGTCATTGTGGTCTTGTGATTTGTAGATGGACCAAATTGTTTAATCTCGGCCCTAACCAAGCCGGACCCCTCCGTCCCGGCCCCCGGTTATGAATGACCTTGGAAAAATGGCCATTGAAGGACCAAGCGCAGCGTTCGCCATTGGGAATTGTCTTCAGACAAGCGACCGGCCAAAATTCCGTACTCACTCTACTCCTACTACCAAATTCTCCAAGGCCGACGGCTCACGCTCCTTCGGGTAGGCTCCAATAGATGTTGTGCATGAGGGGTCGCAAGATGAAAAAATATCTAGGCAAGCGCCTTGAAGGGCGGAGAGGGAACTTAAAAAGCCGGCGTGGGATATGAACGTCGCGAGCAGAACCAGCCTCATTTCTCGTCTCCGGTGCCTGTCGTAGTGCACGTTTCACCAATTTAAAGATGAAGCTGTCGTTTGCCACATTGGCGGCCGTCGCCGCGGTTGCCCTTCCGCCCACCGTCGTCGCGAAAGAATGTCTTGACTGGCCATTGGACAACGTATGCGGTCTTGTGAAGAACAACGCGGGCCAGTCGCTGAAGGTTGCAAACGGATGGGGAAGAAGCAACAAGGACAGTTACGACGAGTTCGATGGGGAAACCACGTTCAAGAAAGTCACAGTGAACCCCAACCAAAGTAGCAAGGACCAGGGGGTAAGAGAGAAGAGTAGGGAAAGGGACTTGTGTGTGTGTGAGGGAACTAATCATATATCAATCTTCCAGGTCAAGGATGCGGACGGTGTTTTCGTCCCCAAGGGCTGCAGGTTCACGTACGACCAAGAAACGCTGAAAGCAAAATCGTACGACCACGAATGGAGTCGGGAGGGTCGCGATTCCGGCCTGTGGATCAAGATTCAAAGCATCGATATCATCACGGTGACGAGGATCTCATGTGCTTCTTCTGGCCCTACACAAGATGCCAAATGTACCAATATCGGTGGAAAGTGCCAGTACACCGCGAATGCCTGCAGCGCTGGATACTTGACAGGCTATTGCCCTAGTTCCCAGGCCAACGTTAAGTGCTGGTGAGTACCGACTGTTGTTGAAATGAGTAAGCCGTGGGCAACGCTCGCTGCAGGAACCCGGTTCGGAGGGGGCTCGCTCCTGCCCATATCTCCCGATGATGCTTCGGTTGGAAAACCTTGGTTCAGATCTAATCAGGATCCGTTTTTGCTTCGCAACAGCCCAAGCAAACCAAGCGGACCGGTCCAGGACACCCAGTGCAAAAACTGGAACGGTGTCTGTCAGAATAGTTCCCAGGGTTGCAGCGGCGGTTACCGAGTCGGCTTGTGCCCCAGCTCCGGCAACAGCATCAAATGCTGGTAAGGAACAACAAGCGTACAAAACGCATCGCACTTGTGGGCCCTCTTCTCACCCATTCCTATCGGAAATGTAGCCTTTCCATCAAGCAGGACAATGCATGCCTCGACGCCGGCGGTTTGTGCCAAGACATCAACAAGAAGTCTTGTAAGAAGGGGTATATGACCGGCAAATGCCCCAGCAGCGGCAACAACATCAAGTGCTGGTACGAGGCTTGCCGATGAGCGTGCGACAGCAATTTTCTTGTCCCTAATTCCTTTCCTTCCCCAGCCCTACGACCTTCATCAACACCTAAGTCGTTTAGGACAAGAATAGTGAGCAAGAAGCCGCCACTTGAACCGAGTCATATATTCTTGCATCTATTTATGTTCAGAGCGCTGATTATCCCGTTATATATTTTCACTTTGAATTTATAATTACTCTTTATAGAATTAATCTCCATAGAATTACTCTCCGTAGAATCTTTTATTGTTCCATTCAAGCTGGTTCCATTCGAACCTTCCATTAATTTTCAGATCTTTTAACGTTTGACACGCTGTCCACCGGGCAGAAGACTGGAACCAAAGTCAAGGGCAAAGCAGCAGCAGATGCTGGCGAAGAGACAAGGCGGGCTTCTTGCGGCGGATGCGGAGGTGTATGTGAGGCTTGTCATTCGCCATCTTATTGTCGTTGACGATGGCACCGATGCCACTATCTTAAGACTTGGGGTAATTGACTTCAATAACCGATCCATACGGTTTTCAAACGTCGTTGAGCATGTATTTTCGGAGGTCGCGGAGCGTGATCTCCCTACTCACTGAAGACAGCTGCGTGACTACTTTGAAAGGCCGGGCTGTGATTCTGAGAGCTTTCAGCCAAACCAGTCCCAATGATAGCAGGATCGCCGAGCCCATGCAAAGATGTTCGGGCGTCTACATATACACTCATCTCCCATTAGATCGCTGTCAGCGATAGTTTTCATGTGAAAGAGACTACATATACAGAAAGCAAGCGACTTCCTCACAGGCCCTCAAACGTCTGCGACACCCGGGATCGAACCCCATGTTCCAAGATATGCACGTTCTTTTCCCAGAACAGTTCCCAAGGCTTCTCGGTTTTGTATATCGCGATCAGCCTGAACTTGACCGTCGTTTTCAGCGCCCAAAACATTGGCAGGAAAATCAGCCACAGGCACGAGATGACACAGAGGCATCTGACGGCGGTGTTATGGGCAAAGCTCGACAGGCCGCTGGACGAGCGCGCAACAATCGTGTTGTTGTCGAAAGTAATGACCACGTCGAGGTTATCCCGAAACCCAAGTTCTCTGATGCGCGCACGGGCCAACGCGGTCAGCTGCTCGAGCGGCCAGTCAATCTGCTTGACCAGTTTCATCTCCTTTAGCGAGCTGCTGTCGCCCGTGTACATGTTGATTGCAGTTTTGACTGGGATGCATTGACCATTCTTGTCCCTGGCGCACAAGTATGCCCATTGGCGTGGGATGTAATTGGTCAAGGTGATACTGATATCGAAAACGGTATGGTTCGTCGTAGTGGTGGTGGTTGATGTGCTTGTGGTCCCGTCAGCGTTTGTTGTGGTGTGGGTCGTGTGGTGCTGAGTGTCGTAATGACCATGGCATCTCATAGTTCCCTTTGGCGGGCTGTTGGTCAAGTGGGTCAGGAAAAAGCGCCAGAGCTCGTCTTGATCGCTGTCCAGGCGACGGTCGTAGGAGACAACGCCGTGCCCTGAACGCTCAATCTCGGCGGTCGACGGGCCCGGCACAGCGGGAAGGAGGCCATCCGAGTTGACAACGAACAGTTCTCGTTCCGCTTCCGGTGGGAGTGGAACCGCAACGTAAGTCGGTGGCGAGCCCTTCGCTGGGGACACTGGAGGGTGCGCTGAAGAGCTGGCCATGACGCTGTCGCCCACCACAGTTCAGAACACTATCCGCCACAGAAGTGGTTGCAGTGGGCGAAAGTCTGAGCGAGTTCGATGGAGGTTGCTCGCTCTAGATCTAGGTTGCTGTCCTCAGTGTCCTCTCGGTGCGCGTCCTACGCGTGTGGTTGTGCGCCGCTTGGCCGCCGAACGCAACACAACCGTGGCTTGAGCCAGCTGCTCTGAAAAGTCACTACTGTACGGGCTGCCTCTGTATCTACTGTATACTAGGCGTGGGTTGGGTTAGGTTGGTACAGCATAAGGAAACCGACTGATTGCGGGTGTATTCAGCTGCCCTGCCGCGATCCAGCCTGCCACCTGTTCCACTGAGGACGTCCTTGCGCATCCCCGCGCATCCGTCGCATCTGTTGCAGCTTGCGCAGGGCAAGCTGTGGGCTTCGGCGTTCTCCGTTGAGAGTAAAATAAATTTCAGGCCATGACGGTCCCACCGCCGCTCCCGCCCCGGCGGTCCACAGGCTTTGCACCAAGAGCATCGTCTTCTGGAAGCCCTCCGCCGCCGCCCCCGCGGCCATCGCAGCCGGCGCAACAACAACACCAGCAAGAGCAGCAGCTGGAGCAATTAAAGTATCAGCAGCTGGAACAGCGATATCAGCTGCTAGAGCAGAAATATCAGCAACTGGAGCAGAAATATCAGCAGCTGCAGGCGCAACAGCAGCAGCAGCGACAACCGCAACAGCAACCACACGGCACGCCACCGACCCCTCCTCAGCAGGTCCAGCAGGAGTCTTTTCAGCAAGAGCAAACAGTTCTTGGGACGCAGAATGCGGGTGCCGCGAGCATCACGGCGGTGAAGAACCAACCACCTTTGACGAGTTCCACCGCCTGGACGGAGCCGCTTTTCTATACCGATGGTCGCGGAACACCGACGTTTGATGCGATGATGAAGGAGTTTTTCAGCAGATTGGACACGCAAGGCACGGGGTACATCACGCCCGAGCAGTATTCGAGCTTCCTGGACGCAAACGAGTTCTTGACCGAATGGAATGCCTGTAAGAATCTCTTCTGAAAGGCGAAAGGAGAAAAGCGACGCAGAGACTAAATTTTCGATTTTTCTGCAGGGAAGAAGTGCCTCAAGGCCGATTGGCTCTACACAGCCGAGGACATGGCTGACTACGAGCTGAAATCCGTCTTCGAAGGCTTCAACTTTGACCACAAAGTCGTCGTCCGCAACGCGGCCAACAAGCAGCTACCCGGGGGCGGAATGCCCTTGCTCAGCCTCGCTGGGTTCACCGACCACATGGCGCTTGAGTACGCCAGCTCGGCAGACGAGCATCTCCGAGGCCTCAACAGCGCGCTGCTCCACTACGGCGTCTGGCCGGAGAGGGGACCCATCCCTAGACACGTTCTCCCGCCGTCTTGTCCGCCCCAGCTGCAGAGCCGCATTGATGAAGCTACGCTCAGGTGCACCGCGAATGCAAAGTCGAAGCTAAACGCGTTGAAGGTGCAGGCTTCGCTGACGGCGATGGGGGAGCAGAACGCTGTGGAGCTCGCGGACAGCCGTCGCTGGGTCACTACTACGACGTACTACTAGCTTAGGCCGTACTACTAGGGCATGAAGCGTATCTCCTTGACCGTTGACAGTCTACATAGTCTACACTACCTACTGTACATGTATATACATACTGCATTACGATAGCTGAATCTTCTTTACCCATCCGTCCCGCGCCTCCTCGAACTGCCTTGTAGGCCTTACGGCTTACATGGATGAGAGTAACCCACGACGTCTCGGAGAGAGTACCCTCCGACGTCTCGGATGCAGACGAGTTTGTGTTCATTTACTGAAGACGCCTAGAGCGAATGGTATACAAAAAGAAAAGAAGGAACCGCAATTGCGAATGCAGTCCAGTCCCGGTCCAGGGGATGACGGAAAACGAAGCAAGGAGAAACAGAACAGAAGACACGCACAGCCATCGATAGCCCGAATCGGGACGAACAGGGTTGGGGAACACTACCTCAGCAGCTGCACAGTGGCTGCCACGGACGGCGCTCCATTCTGCCCGATTGCAAAAAGGTAATAGTAGCCGGACATGATGAAGGGGTGGTCCGTAACCCAAACCGCCATAACGTCTCCGGCGGGCGCCCTAGTCTTGACCTGTAGCGGGACTCGGAGTTGATCGTTGTTGGTCGAGTGGGTGACGGACGCGATCCTGATGAGCTCGTAGGTGCATTTTCCGGAACAGTCTGTCGCTTGCACCGTGAGGTCGGTGCCGAGTTTGTAGAGTTTGCCGTAAGGTGCGTCCACGCCCGACACGCCGCGGATGACGGGGCGGATCTGGCCCTGGGAGAGGTAGGGAGGGGTGAAGACCTCTCCGTTGAAGTGAACGTTGGGACTACAAGGTGCTTGACCGGGTACGGTACAGGCCTGTTGTAGGAGAAAGTTTGAGTGTTGAGAGACACATGAGATGGCACCCGTGAAGGCTGACTTACGTTAGGGAAAGCACCACCACCACCGACCCAGATGGTTCCATATTTCGTCAACAACGCGACGCTGTGGTAGTTCCTCGCCACCTTCATAGGCGCCAGAACCTGATAACTGTTGGTGGCCGGATTGTAAAGCTCGGGAGCAAGGACGCCATTTGTGTCCTCGAACAGATGCAGGTTGGTCTGTCCCCCGACGATAAAGATTTGTCCGCCAGGCAATGCGATACTATGAGCGAACGCTCTCGGGTTGACCATGTTGGCAAGTGGCCTCACGAACGGAAGTCCGCCGGTAGGCAACTTGTCAATCCTGATTTGATATGCCTCCCGCTTTGTAGGAAGTCCGACGCTGCTGGCAAGGTCGCCGTACGCGATAGCGCCTCCGCTCTTGAAAATTCGACTGGGGGAGTAGTGGACAGCGTTTCCGTTCATGCTGTACGTGTCCGTCCCGCGGGCTCCGATCGGCACCATCGTGTTTCTGTTGGTGTTGATGAGATGCATCTTTGTCACTGGACCCGCATGGAAGACCATGTCTTCACCGACGTTGTTTTTGTAACTGAAGAGCCAAGCGTGCTGGGAGGGAGAGGATTTGAGCTTGAGATAGCAATAGGATGACGCATCAAGATTCACTCACGTTGTCCGACCGGTAGATTCCTTGAGGATCCGGGTTCGGCGAACCATTCTCCATTCCGCCAATTATATCGCCTTTCACGGCGGGGAGAACAGTCCATTGGAAGTTGGCGTCCTTTAAGATAAAGAAAGACATGAGTTGGCCCGATATCGCGGGGAACCGACGGCGTGCGGCGAAGAAAGGTCGGAAACGCACCATAAGTTCACCATCCCTGTTACCTAACCAGTAGTCACCGTACAACCTTGGAAACGAACCCCCGACGGTAAACACTTTATCCCCGGTCGTGACCACATTAGCCTGGTAGCCTCTCGCAATCTTCATCATGGGAGTGTTCCTGAACGTCTTGGTCCGCGGGTCGAACACGATAGTGGCGAAAGGTCCCGAACCTCCGTTGACGAGAATTTCTCCATTGGGGAGGTTACTCGTCCCAGGGCAGAACATCTCTGTCGTGAAGGCAACTTGAAGAGCGATGGGTCTCCTCCCAAGGAAGTCATCCACGCTGAAGACGGAGTAGTATGTACGGTTTCCGTTTGGGTCCTTGAAATTGTGGATCCACCCGCCGGGGGCGTTGCCGCTCCACATGAGGAGTTCGCCTGTAGGACTAACGGCGCCTGAGATTGGAGAGAGGGGAAGGGGGATCACATCGGACCAGACTCCGTCAGCCTACGAAAACAGGAAGTGAGTAAAGAGCGGGATGCCTTCAGACAGACATTATGCGAGACTTACGGGAGCGGCGGACACGAGACCGGCGAAGGTCCATAGAGAGAGGAGTACGGACTTGATCTTCATGACGATGCGACGATGTTGATTGTTCGGCGAAGGGACAGTCCTGGATGTCGAGGACCTTGAAGCCTTCCCCTGCTTTATATACCCGTCACCGGTTGATGCGATGACCGGCCGCAATCCTGGGGCCCGGCGTGTCGGCGATTCGGCGCCACGCTACCTTCCGGCCTGCGCGCATGCCAACGAGATCTCTATGCTGAAAAAGTGTACGAAAGCTAGGCACCAGCGCAGGCAAGTCGCTGCGTTCCGGCACCACCGTTGGGAAGAGATACAAACGCGATTGGCGATCAAGAAAGGAGAAGCCATAAAACGAAAGCGAAAACGAAAACGAGGAAGATAGTCTCCTTTTTCGTCTCAAGCCTCCGTCATTTGTCTCTCGGGTTTGGGTCGGCACGGTGTACTAGGCCAGCGCACGTCCTCCGAAGGCGCATGATTACAAACGCTGGAGGTACTGTACGCTGCTCGTAGACGGAGGCCTCGAATCGGGAGCGATTGGACCGCATGGTCGAGAAAACTTGAATCCAGGCTTTTCAATTATACTAAGGCGGTGGTTTGGTGGAACGGACTTCCACGACGGCGCTTGGTGTAGATCGATGGGCAAGCGGCGAAACACTATTCCTACAGTACGTAACATCCTCCTTCCCAGTCCATCTCTCACGCTACGCACATCAGCGAGACGCGTTTGGAGCTCGTTTGCGACCATGCCGGCTATCGGGCCTTCTCTTGATAGATAGTAGTTTTAGTGATCACGGATTCACGGAAAACGTTTACGCAACGTTGAAATCACAAGTGAGGCTTGATCGTCGAAAATCTGAGCAAACTTTCCGAGAAGCAGCTGCAGATCATGCTGGTTATTCCATCTCCGAGTCCATGGTTGTTCCGAACTTGCGGATGTTTTTCGTGCCCGCCACTTAGGACCACTACTACTAGAAACTTTTAAGTAGGAGTGGCACAAATGAGAAATGCGTCAACAAAGCTGAAAGCCACGATGATGGTTGCAAGTTTGCGGTCGACGATCTGCGAAAGCCCCGGACGATATTGCACATGCTATTCGAACATGCGCATCACGTGACGGCCAAGCGAAACTGTATGTATAGAAATGGTAGATATGTTTATTGATCTAGCGGCGGCCGGGTGGCAGGAAGGGGAGCTGGGAATGAGCGAAGTACGATAGGAAAGCCGCACGGACGTAAAGGGGCTGAGGCTAAATCAGAAGTGAAACTCTCACAGGCTTCGCTATTCCTCCAAACAGTGTCAAGGCCCTAATTTCGTACAGCACGAACTATATCTCCCCAATCCGGACGATGCTCAAGATCATCATCAAAGGACGTGTGCTTGAAGTGAAGCTGAGCATCTCCGTAAACACTTGAGATAAATGCGGAGTCGGTCACAACGTCGCCAATGTGCTCACTCGTTGGAAGACTCTCAGGGTGGTACTCGGTGGCAGGGTTGTATGGCTGGAGAGGCTCAGGAATCGCCCAAATGTGATAGAGCACCGTTCCCTGCTGGATGACTTCAAATGAGAAGCGAAGTTGGCGGACGCGGTCTCGGGAGTCTGCAAGCGCAAAGGAAAACGCATAAGTCCTTCATCCTGCATCCTCTGTGATGAGAACAGAAGCCCACCACCCGATGGGCTTTTCCAAGGCGTACCATTTGCGGTGGATTTGCCTTGATCTCCGCGCTGGGGACAAGCCAGACTTGGAACGGGCCTTTCGGGTTGGACACAACTTGTCCGTTCGCCGTGAAAGTGGCCATACCGGAGGTGCCGGTCATTTCCTGCATTTGTAGATATGTCAGCTTCAGTCAAGATAGGCACCTCGTTTCCGGGTGACTTACCGAGTAGTGCCTCACGCGCTGATTCAACTGTCGATGTTCAAGGGTGGAAGTCAGCAAAAGTCTCAACAAATGTACAATGCCGTCTGACAGACCTTCTTGGCAACCTTGGTGCTCAAGTCTTTGGGTGGCCCCAGATGGTTGCTCAGCGGATTCATGAAGTAGTTCCAGCTTCCTTTCTGACCGTCCAAGGTGTAAATAAAGAACAGGTTTGCTGAGGGGGATCCATCTCTCAGGAGTTTCAAGCTGCCGCCGGGGGCGATCAAGACATCATCTGCTTTCAGGCTCTTGGGAGGTTCAGAGACGGTGGTGAGCCGTAGAATGCCCCGGCCGTCCACTTTCCAGAATCCCGTGTAATTGTGGATTGACGGGTAACTCTCAAAGCAGACGCGGCTGTGAGCGCCACGGCTTGTGACAAGAAGTTGTTACGTGGTGTCAGTTCGTTAATGGTCAAAGGGTCCAACATCTGATATCAATCACTTGGAGTCCCTTACTTGCGAATGAACTTCTTCCTTCCCGGGATCATCTCAATGTTCCGATGTCCAAATGGTGGCCGCGGCGGAAGCGTCACAAGCAGCGCTCCCATATCAATGTCTGAGTTCCAGGCCTGTGAGGAGTTGGCCGACGCTGAGAGCTTCTCCCACAGCAGTTCTTCTTTTCGCACAGCGCTGAAAGTTTCGTAATCGGCCGGCAATGGTGGGAACGCGGGCTTGGGATTCAGCGAAAGGCTTGAGGCGCTTCGGTTGTTGGCATTGCTACGGGGCGCTGCCGAGGCTGCGTTCCCCGATAATACGAGCCATAGAACGGGGATGATGCGCATACCAGCTTGTAGAGACTGCTCAAACTGAGACTTTACGAGAATGGAACAAATCTGACCTCCTGCTCTTCCTTTTTGCCCTCCCCCCTTTTATGGCGGACAGCGTTTGCCCCTCGAAAAGTGAGCCGTTGTCGGCCCCGGCATGGAGGCATTCTGGACTACAGGGAGTGTGTCTTACGACAGCATGAGGGCTTGAGACATGGGCGCCGGCTCGCGTAATTTGGCACAGTCCGCATGTACATATGTAGGAGGTTCAACCATTTTTCAGAAGCGCATGAAATATCCATAGTGGCACAAGGTCAAGGAACCTACTACCACGAAAAAATCGAGCCAAAGTGGTACATAGATCATAATAAAGTTGCTAACAACGGGTCACAAGCCCTTCCACATGCCTCGGAGCCTATTTTGAAAGTAATCCTTGGAGCGCTCATTATTGTCTCAATACGAAGAAGCCATTTAGGGCAGTCACAATCTTTGCTGATGGATACTACAAGACTCATTATCGTCTCAATAGAAGAAGTGGTTTAGGGCAGTCACAATCTTCGCTGGATGGATACCGTAATATATTCCAAGATCAAGCAATGATCTCCACGTGGGCTGGTAGACGTATGTTATTATGCGGGCCGAGTCGGGACAGACACAGCAGTGGAGCCTATGGGTGTTTTCTGATACCGACAAGGTCCACTCACGATCTTTTCTGGATGGATACCGTAAGATATTCCAAGATCAAGCGATGATCTCCACGTGGGCTGGCAGATGTATGTTATTATGCAGGCTGAGTCGGGACAGACACAGCAGTGGAGCCTATGGGCGTTTTCTGATATCCACAAGGTCCTTGAGGTACCTCGACGGGGCCGTATGAAGACGGTGAAAGTGAAAGCGCATCAATTGGGGGCGGACTCACGCGTAACCTGTCAAATTGTGCTGCGTTTTGACATTGCACTGACGGGCACGTGAGGATAAGGGCCTCGCACAGGAACAATCAACTCTGTGGAGATACTTCGGCGGTGGGCGTCGGCATGCCCATGTGCGGTTTGGAGATGTCCGCTTCACATGAATTTTAGGTTTAGAGATATCCGGCCACCCACATGACATGTAGCTCTAGCTCTGCGTACACGTACGACATGAAGCCGCATGATTTTCTGACATGTGGGTCTGGGAACAAGACTCTTTCTTCTGCCTGAGGCATGCAGGCGGCTCACTTTCTTCGATGAATCAAAGACCTTGCTAACCCAACTCAGCAGGACAAGCCAGCGGCAGGTTGCCCTGTAATACATCGTTCACCAAGCGCCGGCGTTATCCGATCTCCAACTCGATGGGATCGCAAGCCGCTGGATCCGACCCATGGCGTTACAGAGAAAACGCCCGACGAGGTGTGCACAATTTGTTGTGGAGAAAGCTAAAACGCTTCTCCAGGATGCCACCGCATTCCACCAATAGACGCATCGAAGAGAAGCGAGATGGATGGGTCAAAGCAGGGCAAATCCATGGACATCATGGGCTTCTCGCCCACATCTTTGCTTCTTGGGGATGTCAGGGGTATCATATGCCATGTGAGCTATTCTCATAGAGATCGGTTGGAGCTTCGGGTCCGGTAGAGCAGGTGGCCTCGTCGTTGAATCAGATCCAGCATATAAATGGCTCGAGGGGTGGCTGGCAAGTCGGCTCAATCCCATCAGCTGGCGGAAGTCGACAAGTGCGTCAAGAAGACATCGATACATCCCGAAACAAAGGCTGGAATTTTCAGTCCCATTCGCTCCGCCTGGCTCTTTTCTCGCTGGGATGCCTGTCATCGCATTCGCTCGCGCAGTGGCTGCGGCCCTCGGAAGGTAACATTTGATTGCCTGTCCATGGACGTCATATTTTCATTGTCGGCATTCTCACCACTTCCTCAACATCACTTCCTCCACATCACATCTCCAGCCGATGGTGGCAGAAGGGTATGCTAGCCGGACTCATCTACCTGTCTGCCACCCGTGACAGCATGGAGAAGAACAACCTTCACGACTCCTACACGGCCGTTGACTATCCACAAGCCAACTGCAGCAGTGCGGCGCGATTCGCCCGCTCACTGGATGGAACCTGTAATGATCTACAGAAACCAGCAATGGGATCTGTGGGTTATAGATTCGGGCGCAACGTTCGGCTCGAGAATGTCCCGCAAGGCAATGTGGGATTATTCGAACCCAACCCGAGGCAGATTGGACAGAAACTTTTGCTACGAGATACATTCAAGCCGGCTACTTCAATTAACCTGTTCGTCCTGGCATGGATCCAGTTTCAAGTCCATGACTGGATGGTACGGTCGTAGGGCATCAATTTGGCGTCCAGCATTGGAATCCATTGCTTATCATCTTTTCCACTAGGATCACGAACGAGCATGGGGTTCTCCGGTGAATGTACCCCTCCCTGAAGGTGACCCGCTCGAAGGCACCGGACAGAGGATTTATCTTCCTCGATCCGTAGCCGATCCTGACATGAAGACTCCGGGTCGACCGAAAGCTTTCAAGAACCAGGTGACTCACTGGTGGGATATGAGCCAGATCTATGGGACTACCGCGGAGATCAACCGCCGAATACGGGGAACCGACGGAAAACTGAAGGTTGACGCCGACGGTCTACTGCCATTGGATTCTGATGGGATGGAAGTAACCGGCTTCAAGGACAACTGGTGAGGAACATTAATCGCTTCGCAGTGTGCCCCCGATGATTGACTGACGTCTCATTGGATGTTTGCAGGTGGAGTGGGCTTGCTTTGTTGCACACGATCTGGACGCGGGAGCACAACAGTATTTGCGACATGTTCAAAGCCAAACATCCCGAGTGGACGGACCAGAAACTCTTCGATATGGCACGTTTGGTCACTACCGCGATCAATGCCAAGATACACACTGTGGAATGGACGCCCGGAATCCTTCAAAACGAGATCCTGAGGACTGCGATGCAAACCAACTGGGACGGCATCCTACCGGATCTGTTGGATAATTGGCCTGGCGGGCCTATTCTGACCGGTATCGTTGGCGGGAAGAAGGACCTGAAAGGAGTGGTATGCTAATCATCAGTACACCTGTGAGTGGCGCGCAAGCATGAGGCTCTAGCACTAATTGAACCTTTCTTCCCGTGCAGCCTTTCTCACTGACGGAAGAGTTCACCGCCGTGTACCGTCTACATTCTTTGCTACCGGATACCATTGAGATTTGGGATGCGCAATCCAAGAAGTTGTCTGGTCGTGTGTACGAGTTGCCGTCCATCACTTTCAAAGGAAGCCGCCGAATGATCGCCGAAAATAAGCTGGCCGATGTTGTTTACACGTTTGGGACAGCCAATCCCGGTGCTCTTACGCTCAATAACTACCCGGTGAGTGAACAAACGCAGATGAAAGTAGTAACTTTCGGATGTTGACAAAGCCATGGATTGTAAATTTCCTTCCCTCAGGCGTGGTTGATGAATCTTACCAAGCCAAATGAACCCCATGTCGTCGATATGGCGACCACCGAAATCTACCGCGATCGCGAGCGTGGAATACCCCGGTACTTGCAATGTAAGAAAATAGCTTGAAAGCCAATAGCTCTTTCCGGACGGGAACTAACGTCTCGAATTATCTCGATTTTTTGATGGTCCCAGTCCGTCGCGAGATCGGGCTCAAACCAGACTTCAAGACCTTCGCGGACATTAACCCGGACAAGAAGGTCCAAGCCCTCCTGCAGTCCGTTTACCGAGTTCCCGAAGACGTGGACCTTCTTGTCGGCACACTGGCAGAGGAACCGAGACCAGACGGTTACGGGTTCGGTGACACCGCATTTCACATCTTTATCCTCATGGCTTCCCGCCGATTGTTCACGGATCGTTTCTTGACTGACGACTACAAGCCCGAGATATACACCGCAGAGGGGATCAAGTACATCGAGACACAGGGCAACTTCAAGGGGCTGATCTCACGGCACTTCCCAGAGCTGGCCTCTGCTGTGAACTCCGTTGACAACCCTTTCAAGCCGTGGAAGCTTTAGCGTAGCACATTCTTGGACGGAGACTTCCGCAGAGTAGTATAGCAGATTTCTTGACCTTTTGACCGATTCGCGGGTCGCATAGGCATTGTGAAACTGATTACCTAGCACTTTGTCCATCAAATTGTCTTTCCCTTTCTGAGATGTCTTCCCACGTGCATAGTGGGAATATAATGGATCGTCTCAATAATGCATCAAAAGCACAAATCCTGATGGGAGTCGTCTCTTTTCTTTTGAGTCCCTCCCCGGTTGACGCGTCGAGGCCGTTGTGCTTCCAACATCGTACCGGGTCTCCCGAAATCCACAATCCAGAACCCGGCGGACCTATCTTCAGCTCTTCCGTGGTGTATCTCCTGAGTTTCTCCTGCCTCGCCGTTCTAACGCCTCCTTCTTCGTTTTGTGGAATATGAACGCCGGAATATTGAAGCCGTTGGCTCCGGCCGACAAACCGACTTGGCCCCCCGTTTGGCGCCACAGCGGTAGCCCGAGTTCAATCGAGCGTTGATATCTCGAGAGACGTTTGCGGTGGCAGCGCTTGAAACGAGATGGATTGGATGCGTTTGACTCCTATTATTCATTTCTGTTTCAGAAATTGTTGTAGTTCCCGTTCTTTTTGTGTTTTCATCGTTCGTGGGCCTGCTATAGACCCTTTGTGTGAAAGCAATTGAATTAACGGATGGCGTTGTATCTACCTACATATCTCCAGTTATGTTATCAAATAACACCTCGGCTAGTGAACAAGAGTAGTATCTACAGCAGATGCAATTTGAGCTTTGTTGTGATGATGAACAGCAAACACGCCCTACGCTACGAGCTACACTACAAGATAACACAATTCACCTTTACCCGCGGCGGTGAGGGGGGTATTGGATGTCTAACACTCTCAAACCTCTCAACCACAACCCCAACAACAGCCAACAGCCCCAAACACACCACCGCGACCAGCAACCCGCCCATGAAATCCACGATCCGCTGATCTCGCCATATCAACAGGTACATCTCCCCCACGGTGCGGCCGAGGATCCAGTACTGCACTGCAAAGTAAAGGAGGTAGACGCCCACAATGCTTGTGGTCAAGACGTCGAAGGCGCGGCGTATTCGCGGCCGAAGCCACAGCACCGCCACACGTGCCTCAACCTTGAGCCAGATAAGCGCGTTCCTGCATTGTCGGTAGTTGCGTTTCGAGTCGTGGTGCAGGAAGAGGGCTGAGGCGATCGCGGCACCTGTTGCGAGCAGTTTGCCGTAGTGGGTGCGTATGAAATCGTAGAGGGGTTCAAGGGGACTCGGGCATTGGGCGCGGCGGTGGCTGATGCGGCGGCGGAGGTTTTCGATGATGGCGCCTGACGTAGCATCTCTGACCTCCTTTGAAGTGGCTTCCCGGTTGTACTTCACATTGAGTATCAGAGACCGCGGATCGTCCGAGCGTGGTAGGATTCTGCGCGCGGTTTCCAGGGCTGGTGCGAGTGCACTTTCGACGAGCGTGTCCATTTCTTTCCTCAACGCTGACTTGGACATCATGCACAAGTCTTCGTCGCTGGCTAGGAGGGTGCGCAGGGAACGAATGATGACCGTGGTAGCAGGGCGTCCTAGGGTCGCTACGTGACTCCGTGCCCAGTCCACATATCTGACAAGACGCACAAAAAGTGTCAGCCATCGGAAGGAGAGTGCGTCCTCAACAGTTCTCGCGCGCAAAGTGCTTTTACCTTTCGATGTAAAGACTCTTCTTATCAGCGAGCTGTTTCCCCAACAGCACAACACCAGCGCTCTGCTCCGGTTCCTGCCCCACTCTCGCCGCCGAAATCCGCATCGCTTCCGATATCTTCTTCACCTTGCTATCCAAGTTATCGATAAAAGCGTCGTACGTGATGGTTCGCGGATCCGGTGGAAGGAGCTGCGAGACCTGGCGGTCGAATATTTCCAGCAGGTGTTTGCGCTCGTGGTCCAGTTTCAACTCGACGGCCGAGTCCCAGGATGTGCGCTCCGGGATCTGGATGGGGGCGTTCTCGAACCACCGTTTTATCAGATCGGCCAACACGGAGCCCGCGATAGGGGCTGAGTTGAGTCGTTTGGAGTCGTGGTTGCTCGCCACACTGGAGACCAGTGACAGAATATCGTTTCTGTATTCCTGGTGACAATGAATGAGTCGGGCATGCAGGGATTCATGGCTAAACCTGCCAACTCACCTTGTTCCAGTCGTTCCAGCTAACTGCTCCATTCATACCCGCCATCTTGGCATCGTCATCTAGTGGGCGCGATATCGGCATCATCTTCAACGACCCAAATTGCTGCTTTACAAATTTATAATCCACGTTCGCGTCCTTCAAAAGCGAGTCTTTCCTAATGATTTGATCCAAGAATTCTGCTGGCGTCCATCCTTGCAATTGCAGGGAGTATTTATTGAAGTTCTGGATCGTCCAATGCAGATTTGGAGGCGACAAATCATCTGGTATTGGGTCCGTTATGGTTTCTGTCGCCGCTGCTGCGTCCATCATGAATAGGCGCGAGAAGGCTACGAAGAGCTCTTGTAAGTGATACGGTTAAAGTGGCCCCAAAAGCTCTTCGTCGCCAAACCTGCAAGGCGTTTCAAAGTGCGTACATCCTCTGCATGCACAGGATACCACGTATTGTAGAGCCTACATAATGTATGATGTGAGCGTTGGGTAGGTTCGACTACCGGACGTTGACAACCTACACATTAGAGCTTATCATGCATGCAGCTATAAACAGCTCGACTTCATATGCAGAGGACTGATCAATCGAAAAAAGAAAGCAAGTTAGCGCACTCGTCCGCAGCGTGAACTTGCGGAAAAGCTGTGACCCACCTGCACGCTTTCCACGCCATGGAGCCCTTCGACATCGACCAGATAAGTATCCTTGCCATTCAACCGAATCGGCTCTGGCCATATCCACAACCCTTGCGTTGCACTGGTGACACCTTTGCTGACCACAAAGGGTTTGTTATCGTTCCCGAAAGACGGTCGGTCGTTTGAGTATGATGAGAGGGCGGTTTGGTGTGCACGGACAAAGTTATTCATCAAGAGGCTTTTCCCTGTTCTGGTCGGCCCCACGACAGAGATGATGGCAAAGTCGCTTGGGAGAGAGCGTAGGAAGGTCTCTCCTTTTGGGGTGAGACTGAGGTGGGGATCGTGTGACCCCTTTTGGGTGACATTTCGTCCGAACAAGAGGATTGGGTCTGTGGCGAGGGCGAAGGACGAGAAGCCGACGAGCAGGAGAGCCAGTAGCGGCTGAAGCCGAAGTGAGAAGTGGCGCATGATTGGGTGGGTATGCAGCAAAGAGGGGAAAGCAGTGGAGATGCCTCGTTTCTCGTCGCTTGGCTTTCCTTTCGCAGGGGGGAACGCGACGACGTAAGGCGCTCAGAGAGAAACTCCGCCCGGTCGCCCATCCCAGAGGGGGCACTACCGCAAAGGACCTCGAGATACCAGCGCCCACATTATTGCCCTGGATCCTCTTCCTCATTTTCAGCATAACCTCGGGCTCTTTAAGATCTTCGACAGAAGAGACCACAGACTCAGGAATGTAGTCGGGGACTCCCCAGATACATTAGGATGAGTAAACGGCGTTGGGAAGGACAAGGGCGTTCGTGCGGTGTGTCTCTAACTATTTGCCTACGCAATATGAGGGTGCAATTATGACGGGAAGAGCAGTGTCTTGGCAGCCGGGGCACATGCATGTACTCCATACTCCGAAAACCAGAAAGGACCGGATTCTCGAAGATGGGATACTCACCATTGGACCCCTCCAACCACCCCATTAGAAGATCAATCTCTCCCTCTCGCTGCTTGGCAAACATATCTTCATGCGGAGCGGCCTCTACCTGCGGAAGGAGTCTTCATGTCAGGATCGGCTACGGATTGAGGAAGATAGATCCTCTGTGCCGGAAGAGGTGGAAGGAGAGGTCTTGGGAATGATGGGACGGGCTACGGGTTCGGCTAACATTTTGTTGCTTGCGGGATGGTTGTGGGATGTGCTTTGCTTTCAAGTGCAGTTGTCGTTGAAAGATGTTCCGGAGGACGCTGGGATGGATGGTGGCATTTGTAGAGCCGTAGTCCCTATGCCGGACATTCCAAACCAAATTTATCGCTCTCGGTGTGATTGGAAATGAATTGATGGGCCTTGATACTGCACATCAAAGATCGATTGCCTCGCCGCTTCTCTACCGATACCGTTGCCAACGGAATGCCGCGGTTTGCTACACGAACGAAAGGCATGTCTGGCTCGCCCGACGCCCTACCTCAGGCTCCGTGGATGGCATTTGTCATCCAGCAGCACTTCCGCTGTACAGCAGGTGCGGCGAGCTTGGAGACTTTGGAATATACCGCCAAATGCTGTTCTCCTATGCCGACTACCGGACACATCGTTCACGCCCGGGCCCTTTAGGATATCGCGGAGGTAACTCTACTGGTAGGTGCCTCGCGGTTACGCGTCGTCCGAAGCATCTGTCCTTTCGTCACGGCGCAAGTGTACTGTACAGTACCAACCATCACAGCACAGCGGCTATCAATCGGTCATGAACGGCACTCAATGCCGGAGATTCGCCTCATTTCCATGTATTCCATGTATTGATGAGTTACGAGCCTCGAGTGTATCTTAAGAAAGCACATAGTCGCCGCTGGTAGACCTCAGACCGCCGCTAAGCATCAATGTTTAAGTAGTCGGACAATGGCTGCCCAGGTCAAACTACAGTAGTATAACTCGTGCTCGCGTGGAATTCTCATGACAGCCTGCCGCTTAACTACTTCCTACTGTACATTGGAGCGGCAGATGCCAGATCATGGCGAGGTCAAGACGTGAGTATTACTAACTGTTCCCTTCGCGATAAACAGCAAGTGCTTACGAGAGACACACGCGACGCGTTGCTCTGTTGCTGCCCCCTGCCAAGGCGCCTGCGAAAGAAAGGGTGTGCCAAGGCAAACATCCCACCCGCTCCCCGTGGGGACTCGGATCCCTCCCCTCCGTTCACACCGCTCCGCATAAAAGAAACGTATGCGTCCGGTGCACCCTCCATTTCAACCCCAACCTCCCCAAGTGCACTTCCTGTCCCTATAATCCTTGGACGTCACCCGCCCGCTCTTCCCGTCGCTGCTGCACCTGGTGCATCTCCATACCAAACTCACCTTCCAGTGTACAGGCGGGAAAAAAAATCCGGATTCGCCAAGCCTCCTGGCCAACGCCCATTTTCTTGTTGTCCGACCAGTGGCCGGATCCATGTCTATGGGAATGTCTCCTTATCTTGATCTGGAGGGTTGCTTCTCGCGCCGCAACACATCCTTTTCTTTCCTTGCCATCCTTGCGAGAGAAAGGTTCGAGATCAGTGACGCCAACCAGAATTCGGTTGGAGAAGGGTGTGTTGAGGCGCGAGAAGTCAGAGCGGAGCTTGAACTCTGCATCCCGATCTGCGAGCCCAGCCATGTAGTGGGTCTGACACCGCTTTCTCCCTTGGGTGACAGAACATTGCCAAGGCTAATGGCGACGTCTCCCACCTAGAAAAGAATATTCTGCGGCGGCAAATAATCTTGCTGACCGCTCGAACCTCCGGTCACGTCATCGATGCTCATCCGCGTCCTTCAAAGTTTGTGGGATGTCAGTTGGGCGAACGAAGAGCGCTAGAGGACGCCCGACTTTTTTTTGCGGGGGGTGTCTGTATCAGAGCGTATGGAATACACAGATATGCTCCTCATCCCCCCATTCTTTTCGCTTGCATTGGGCGACAGAAGATCGCCAAGGCTGCAGGCAAGCGGTGCCCGCTCGTCTCATTGTGTCTTCGGCTGTTGGAAGCAGAAGTCGCACGGGCGCCGTCCACTCCCATCGATGTCTGTTTTTTCTCATTTTTTCGATGTGGGGAACGACACGCAGAGGATACGCAAGGCATGCGCCTACAGCGTACTTTGCGGAAGTCGAATGGCTGCTTCGCGCACGCATATAAAACCTGATGGGCTCGGCTCTTCCTTTACTTTCAAACTCGTCCCCGCCTCATCTTCCAATAAACCGATCATCATCAGCTAGAGCCTTCAAGTGAGCCTGTCCTCGCCATCTCAAGTTCTCCGTTTGATTCTTCTCGTCTCAGAGCATCAAGCGATGACAGCCAAAGACAAGCACAACACCTTCGAGGCCTCCACCGGCATCATGTCCAACCCAAGCACCGACATCCCCGCCCCCTTCCTCTCCAACGACCTCCGCATCACCTACCGCACCCTCTCGGTACAAATCGATCACCCTAACCCCACAACCTCATCAGAAACCGCCGTCAAACTCCGCGACATTGATGTTCACACCTGGCCCGTTGCCGACGTCTTCTCCCGTTTCGCCACGCACCCTACAGGCGGTCTCGCGGCCGAGATTGTTGAACGTCGCAGTTTGACGGGCAAGAACAAGATCTCCCCCCCGCCGACGCGGTATGCGCGGCAAGCTGCTGGATATGTGTTTGGTGGATTCAATTTCTTAATGTGGATTGCGTTCGTGGTGATTTTGTTGTCGTGGCGGCCGTTGGGGAATGAGAGTGCTGCTGGGCCGCAGGTCTTCAACCTGGGCGTTGCTGTGTTGCTGGTATGTGCACAACATCTGAATCATCATCGGATGCAAGGGAAGCTAAATGTAGCTTTCTCCCGTGATTGCAGTTTGCAGTGATCGTCGTCTCTTCCATCTTCTACGCCTGGGTCGACTACAACGCCTCCCGCATCATGCGCTCCATTCGTTCCCTCATCGCGCAAGAAGCGTACGTGATCCGGTCCTCCCTCACGCAGCTCGTCTCCTCCGAATCTATTGTCGTCGGCGACCTCGTTACGCTGAGCGCCGGTCAACGTGTGCCAGCCGATATACGCATCGTGGAAGCGTCGTCGGATTTGAGCTTTGATCGGATGCTGTTGACGGGCGAGGGGGAGAGCGTGGAGGGGTGTGTAGACATGACGGATGCGAATGTGCTTGAGACGAGGAATTTGGCGTTCGCGAGCACTTTTGTGGTGCAGGGGAGTGCTAAGGGGGTGGTTTTCGCGATTGGTGAGTCGACCATGGGCCTTATTTCCTCGCAATGATACATTCTGACGTATTGAAATGTGCAGGCGACAAGACAGTAATGGGCCGCATCGTGCACCTCTCCGGGCAGCACAAACCCGGCATGACGACCATGCAGCGTGAGATCTGGTACTTCACGCGTATCATTTCTACACTGGCATTTTCCCTGTTTGCCTTGTCGATGATCTTTTGGGCCGCGTATACGCGCCAGGTCCATCCCGGGTTTGCCGGGCCTGCAGATGCGATTATCAACTCGATTGGCTGTTTGACTGCTTTTGTGCCGCAAGGTGTGTGCTCTTTTGTTGATGTTAGGAGGGGTGTTTTCGAGAATGCTTCACTGACCATCCATTATATTCTGCAGGTCTGCCAGTCTGTGTCGCCCTGTCGCTGACTATCATCGCCAAACGCATGGCCGCACACCACGTCCTCGTCAAAAACCTATCTACAATCGAGACCCTCGGGTGCATGTCCATCCTCTGCTCCGACAAAACCGGAACGCTAACACAGGGCCGAATGACCGTCGAAGCTTGTGCCGTTGCCGATGTCGTTGTAGATGCTGATGATGCACAGAAGTCGAAACACGCTGCTATGTCTTCGCTGTATGCTGTTGCTACCTTAGGAAACGGCGCCACGTTTGACCAGACCACCATGGAGTTGCCCATTGATGAGCGCACGGTCAAGGGCGACGCCACCGACGCAGCCATTCTCCGCTTTGCCACTGCCCATCCAGATGCCGGCAGTCTCGTCGCCTCACACCAAGAGCTCTTCGAAATCCCGTTCAACTCCAAGAACAAGTGGATGATGACCGTCCAGCGCCACCTGGACGACCCGACCACGAACCCGACGACGATGTACGTCAAAGGTGCCCCCGATGTGCTGTACCCGCTGTGCAGCACCATGCTCACCCCCGACGGTAAAGTCGTCCCTTTCGAAGGGGCCAACTATGATGCGGTGCTCGCCACGCAAGCCAAATGGAGCGCGCTCGGACAGCGTGTGCTTGCCCTCTGCCTGCGTCCCGTCACCAGCCCGGAGAAAATTGACTACACCGTTACCGCCAACGCGCAGAACAAACTCAAAGCGCAAATGATGAACGGTCTCACACTCGTAGGCCTGGTAGCAATCCGCGACCCGCCCCGCCCGGACGTCCCCGCCGCTATCACAGCCATGCGCCGCGCCCACGTCCGCGTCTTGATGGTCACTGGCGATTTCCAGGTCACCGCCACAGCTATCGGGAAGCAGATAGGGCTCATCACCAACGAGCATATCGACACACTCGCCGAGCTCCGTGCTAACGCTGAAGCGCGTGAACGATTTGCGCAGGCCGAGATGAGCGAGATCAAGCCTGCAGATAGCGACCCCGTGCGCTCGTTGGTGCTGACGGGGCAGGAAGTCGAGGGGTTGAATTCGGAGGAGTGGAATATGGCGTTTGGGTTTTACACCGAAATTGTCTTTGCACGCACCACGCCGGATCAGAAGCTGCAGATTGTCGAGGAGGCCAAGAAACGCGGCGATAATGTCGTCGGCGTCACTGGCGACGGCGTCAACGATGCCGCGGCGCTCAAAGCGGCCGACGTCGGCGTCGCGATGGGATCGGGATCGGACGTGGCGAAGGAGGCCGCGGCGATGGTGCTCCTCAACAACGAATTCTCGTCGATCCTCGTCGGCATCGAGAACGGCCGCTTGGTTTTTGACAACATCAAGAAGGTGATTCTGTACCTCATGCCCGCAGGTACCTACACGGAGTTCATCGCGGTGCTTTCCAACGTCTTCTTCGGGATGCAGTTACCGCTCTCGTCGTTCCTGCAGCTACTCTTCTGCATCGGCAACGACGTCGCCATGTCCGCATCGCTCATGTTTGAGAAACCCGAAGCGGATCTGATGAACCGCAAGCCTCGTAACGCACGCACCGATCGGCTCGCTAATCGGAACTTCTTTGTTCAGATTTATCTGTTCATCGGGCCTATGATGTGGCTGTCAGCAATGGGTATGTGGTTCCTGTGGATGTCGACGCGCGATATCTACTTCAATGACTTGGTGCTCGCCTTCGAACGCTGGGGGAAACTCAACGACGACGGGTCGATCGCACCGGACGCATTGCCTGCGCACCACGATGGCATTGATATCAGAGACGGCAGCGGGTTCCACGCCGCATTGGTCTACGATGTGAATGTCGGCAACTGCATCTACTACGTGACCATGCTATTCCTGCAATTCGGCGGGCTGATGGCCGCGCGCAACCGGCGGATGTCCACCTTCCACGCCAACCCCTTCTCGGGCCCGCGGCGTAACGGGGCGATTGGCGTCAGCATGCTCGTGTCGCTGTCCATCGCGCTGGTGGTGCTGTACGTTCCCGCCTTCAATAACGTGTTTGCGACGACCCCAATTCCAGTTATGTACTGGTTCATACCAATGGCGCTGGGAGTGGGCGTGCTGAGCATGGATGAGGCGAGAAAGGCAGTGGTGAGGGCGTACCCGCGCAGTGTTGTTGCCAGATTGGCTTGGTAGGCCGCGCCATCCCTCTCTTTAGAATTTACATAGCCCACATAGACATATGTGCCTTCAATGGCAGCTGCCCGTTCCACTTGTATGATGCACTCGTTTACATGAAATAATGAGAAAACTCCGTTGAGTGGATATTGTAACATTGAAAACACTATTCAACCTACGTGCGCTTCTCTACGGCCTACTCTTCTATGTTGATCTTCAGTGCGCATCCTAGGCTTTGATCGCAACGACAATGTTGGCCTCCTTCTCTCCCGCTCCGAGCTGGTCATATAGATGTTTTCGTCGGGCGTTTACCCACCAGATACGGCTTGTGTCGCAATTGTTGTGGCATATTCCTCCGCGGATTCGACGTTGAGATTAAAGCGTGAGATGATTCCGACTCCATCTTGCTTCAGAAGTGTATTAAAACGACTGAATCCGTGTACCGCTGTCGCCCGCGTTGTCCGTTTCCCCTCCTCTTCAGATTCGTTTCGTCGCTTAGTCTGTAAAACAAGAGCCATAAAAGCGTGAGGATGTGCGTGAGCATGTGCGAGTGGGAGTGTTCTGCAAGTGGGGGAGTCCTGGAGTCCCGGCACGACCTGCCAGCTACCTACCTCTCCTCTCCTCCACCATCACTCCTCTCCTCCCCTTTCCATCCAACCATCCCGTTACCGTGCAACCATCCTGTTTCCGTTCCATCTCCGGTTTGTCGCAAAGCCTCATCAGTGATCACCCACCATATCTCATCTCCGGTTTGAACACGAATACTGCACATGTACGTCTATCGGTATCTGCATAAGCGGAAGAGGAGAGTTGAGTGCCCTATGTTGCAGGACTCGGGCCATGATTCGTTTTATGGATGATGAGTATTTGTGGGAAATGAATGCTGGGGTAGTAGTGCCTACCTACGTACCAGCCCTACCAAATGGCAAACCACGGCGCTGAGAGCGTGAAGCTGTAAGGCCGAGCGTGAAGGCTGTAAGGCCAACCCTAACGGCGAAACCCGACCCTAACCCTGGCCCTAATCCTTCTTGCGGTATTGAACACCACCAGGTATTAATAGCACCAACGATCGTGGAATTTCTACACCCGCAAGCTGGAAGCCGTTGCAGAAGGATCACCCGATTGGACTACCTTTGTGTGTAAACAGAAAGACCACATAAAGCGTTATTTCAAAGACGATCTGAGCAAGCAAGAGCAATATTTGACACTCGTAAAGTCCCTGCGTTTCCTCCTGCCTACCGATACGTCCGCGGCACTGTACGTCAACGGGTTCCGATTCGTGCCGTTGGAGGTCTCGCACCTGGGCAAGTGGTCTACGCCCCAGTCCCCGTGGCTCGGGAGCTCATGGAGGCGCCTACTGTTATCCTGGATATGCAAGCGATTACCTATCTTCTCACGCTCGACCGGTGCGCTGACCCTCTCCTCGACGACGAGGAGGACGAGAACTCCGTAGATTTGCAGAACCTAGCCGACACGCAGCGTTGTCGTCAGGAAGTTCTGACAAACGCGCACTACGAGGAGGGGAGCTGCTTTGACGAGTGGCCATCGTGGGTCCAGAGATGGGGCAAGGATTGGAGGAAGGATCGCGGGCCATTTTTGTCTGTTTACCGGCGGAAGCGTAAGGTGTTTGAGGTGCAGGCACCATGGCCATGGGGGGGTCTTGGGCCGAAAGTTTTTCACAACTGCATACCCGGCAAGGGACGGGAGTATGAGGGAGCCTATTCAGCGTATTACGTAGACGGCTCCCTCCAGTTCTTCGTTTTGATCGCAATTCAACTTGTTGAAAGAGTGGGAAGAGCGAGCCATGAGCGTAAGTGGCGGGCACGTGACTAATTATAACTATGGCCGAGTCCGCCCCGGACGACCCCTTCCTACTCTTCCTTCCCTTCCTCTTTCCCTTTTCCCTTTTCTTCTTCCTTACCTTCCCTCATACCCTCTGAGCACGATTCTTTGAAACCCACCCACCCTCTCCTATGTATTTGTTTGTATAACCTTCGGAGAACGTGCAGCGTTCCCCTCTTCTTCGCAAATATTCCCCTCGTCTTCGCAAATACACCTTCTACTCTCCAAACATCACAACCTTCTACTCTCCAAACATCACGGGGTGGGATCAGCGGGCGAGCGTTCCCAAACGCTAACTGTTCGCAATCTAATTGGGATGGGCTTACCATATGCAAAATAGCCTGATTACCCTACTATAAATTCCTTCTGTCGATCGCTATTGTTTGTCCGATGCGGGTTCCTTGCGTTCACCATGTCCGAATGCGTAGACTTTGTCGTCAACGCGCTCACTGGACCAGCTCTCCAGTGGTGGAAAAGCCTTCCTGAAAACGAACGCTTCTCCATAATTTCATGGCACGATATTCAAGACGTCTATGGACTGCCCCCGCCACTCGGACTACGCTCCGCAATGTTGAGGTGCTTCATTCCCCGGACTCATCTGCCGCAAGTTCTTCACAGACTGCGCGCTCTGAAGCCCAAGTCAATTAACCATCAAGGTTTAACCGAATTCGTCGCCCAGTTCAACCTTTTGGCTGGACAACTCCCCGGGCTCCCGGAATACGTGCTCTGCGCCGACTTCCTTCAAGCCCTTCCTAAGAATGTTGGTACCCTGATCACTGCTCAGGCTCAGTACAATGATAGACTTAGTCCTTCTCAAGAAGCCGCGATTCGCATAGCCGCGCAGCTCAACAAGAAGACCCCGAGTACGCCTCAGTCGGGCGCATCCGCTGCCCACGTTACTTCCACTCTACCTCAGAAGAAGAAGAACAAATCCAAGACTGGCGGCTCTAGAAGCTCCTCCTCTACCCAATCCTCATCTTCTGACGCAACCAAGAAGCCTCCCCAGTGCAAATACTGCAATAGGGACGGCCACAAGTCGGATAACTGCTTTACTTACAAAGCTGTCAAGGATATCATGGACAAGAACGCGAAAACCAAGCAGGACGCACCCGCTGCAGCCTCCATGGCTTATGCCATGCACGTTCAAGTCCAACCAGCCAACCACGACGTCCACCTCTTCAAGGCGAACGTGGATTCCGGTTGTACGGATCATATGACCCCTTATATCAAGGATCTAGATCCATCTTCTCTTCAAGACTACCACCGCCTTATTGGACTCGCGGATTCGACTACCATTACCTCGCAAAAGAAGGGTACCGGACTTATCCAACCTACGTCCGGCGGCGAAGTTCTCGCTCTTCGCGATGTTCTATTGGTTCCCAGTCTTGCCCAGCCGCTTATATCTGTTGCTAAATGCACTGATAACGGCGTTACCGTCTCCTTTCACCCCACCGACGTCGTTACGTTCAACACCGACCGACATTTACTCGCAATGGGGATGCGCGAAGGCGACGCGTACTATTTAGAAGGACGGGTTACTACCTACAAGCCCAATGCCCAGGCACTGGTCGCTTCCATAACCCCCCAACTTCTGCATCAACGTCTTGGACACCCTGGAAACCACATTCTCCCGGTTATGCCTAAGATAGTAGAGGATTAGCCTTCAGTGGGGGCTACGCCGGACTCCGGCGCACGCTGCGATCCATGCGCTCTCGGCAAAGCTACCCGCCTTACCTTCCCTAAATGGACATCCCCGCCACATAAACCCGGCGAGCTGATTCACAGCGATTTACAAGGTCCATTTCGGATCCACGGCATCAACGGAGAGCGCTACAGTCTCGCGTTCCTCGACGACGGCTCCGATTTTGCCCGTACCTACTCCATCAAGGACAAGGAGGCATCCACTATTACTGTTATGATCTCGAGGACGGGGGCGGAAGCGAAGTAGAGAAGACAGGGCGAGTGTGATAGGCGACCAGAGATTGTATTGGCGAAACAAGAAACAAGGACTAGAACAGGAGATGAGAAGAACTGGTGTTGATCTGCTGGGGAGGAAGGGAATGGACGAAGAGAGGCCGGCTATTTATAGATAGGCAACCCAGCAGATCAGAGAACAACAACAACAAGAGGGGACTGGGGGGGGCGCCAGCTATGCTCCTAGAGCGTGCGTGGCGAGCGTAGAGAGCATTGCTACAGCTGCTGGCTATGGTAAAGTAGTGGGGGGTGTGGAGAAGCCGAGGGGGATTGGCGAAATGAGAGGAGAGAGGAGGAGTGGCAATATTGCAAGAGGATTGGCGAAATGAGAGGAGAGAGGGGGAGTGGCATTGACATTGTCATTGACACTGACATTGACACTGACATTGACATTGACATTGGCGTTTGACATTTGGCGGTTGACATTGGCGGCTGTCAGTAGGTAAGCTTATGGTATGGGCGCGTCGTCCATAACATCACCCCTCTCTTTAGCGGCGGCAGCGGCGGCGTCGAGTTTGGTGTGGCCGCAGAGGAGGTGCTACCGGGACAGAGGAAGGCTTGTTGGGGTACGCGTTGTGGAAGTCCTGGAGGAGTGCGTCGGTATGGGTGAGGTGTTCCACGGGCTCCCAGGTGTTCTCGGAGTCAGGCCAGCCCTGCCATTTGACCAAGTACTGAAGGCGACGATAATGGATGCGAGAGTCAAGGATGGCTTCGACAACCCACTCTTCTTGACCCTCAACGGTCTCTGGGGGCGCGGGTTTGGGTTCGTGTCGTTCGGGGATGGTGAAGCGGGGTTCGAGGAGCGAGACACGAAGACATCGTGGATTTTGTACGTAGGCGGGAGCTTGAGCCGGTAGGCTACGGAATTGATTTTTTCAACGATGGGGAATGGCCCAATCTTGCGATGGTCGAGTTTCTGAGAGGGCCGGGTTGTCTGGAGGTTTTTGCGGAGAAGCCAGACGTGGTCGCCAGGCTTGAAGTCCGGTCCAGGAATTCGTTTGGCGTCGGCGTAGCGCTTCATTTGATCTTGGGCTTCCTTGAGCTCGAGGGCCAGCTGTTCATGGACTTCCCTGATTTGTTTAGCGCGGGCTTCAGCGGCGGGGTTGACGGATTCGGAGGTAGCAGAGGCCGCAAAACTGAAGCGGGGGTGGAGACCTTTGTTGGCGTAGAAGGGGGTGGTCTGGGAGGCGGACTGGTGGGTG